GTCACCTGTATGACCCCAGGAGCCATATCCTGCCACCCATGGGCCACTCAACCATCAGCCCGCAAATGGGTGCCTACAGGTGTGCCAGCCAGGTGGGCATGATGGCTCCCAGGATGCGGTGGCACATTGGTGACACCAAGCTGGGGGCCGACAGGTGTGACAACCCCTCCATGTCTCTGCAGATGAGCTGCACGCAGGGCGCCAACCAGCATGGCCTGGTCTGTGGCCTGGGCTGGAAGGTACACGACCCCAACTCCTGCCCACAAGGCCCAGTGGCCAATGGAGTTTCAGGGTCAGCTGGCCACTGCCCAAGCCCCGGGAAGGCCCCCGAGTACCGCCCCCTACTAACAAGGCGGGGGCAGACTACTGAGGCCTCCCTCATGGGGTGTCTCCCCACATCATCTCCCCATCTGAGATTTCAGGTTTTCCTGTGTTTTCATCTTGTTTTTCTATGTGTTCAAGTGCTTCCAGCTGAGGGTCTGTGAAGGCCAGACCCAGATGCTGTGGGGTGGGGTCCCCACCAGGACACATCCCGGTAGCAGATTTCCCAGCAGGCCTTGGGCCAAGCTGGTAGTGTGGGGGAGAAACCTGTGCAAGGAGGGGAACTGGACCCAAGTGGCTTCTGATGGTTTCTGCACCTGCTGATCAGGTTTCGGTGTCTTTACCCACAGACCTTTCAGGCAGTTTTACCAAAACAAAAGTACTTTTGGTGGGGGGAGATGGGGCGGTGGTGGTGGTGGAGGAGGGGGTGCTGGGACGGCAGTCCCCTGGGAGAGGGCCAGGCCACGGTCCCCAGATATTGTAGGCACCGTGAGGGACTGGCCTTCCCCAGGACCCTCCCAGGGGCCCAGTGATGGAACTGGGGCCCAGGCAGGACAATGAGCTCTGAGTGGTGGAGGCTCTGTCAGGCACCCCCCCCGCCATACTTGCCCCCCATTCCGGCCAAGCACTGCCCAGGGACCCCCACCAGGGGGCCTGCCCTGGGCCCAAGAGCCAATGTGAAATACCAGCTGAGGACCAAAGGCAACAAAAACCTCTTCTTAGGGGGTTTACAAGCTCTCTAGTTTTATGGAGGCAAAAGGTTGCCTGCTATAAGGCTGGTTAGGGAAACCAGTGACGAGGGCATGTGGCGGTTTCAGCACACCTCGTGTGGGCTTTGATCTAGTGCAGTGACCATGAGGTCTCCACGTTCAGTCCATTGCCATTGCCACCTATGGTAGAACAGGCTCATGAAGTTCCCGATTTCAGGCAGCTTCCTTGTTTATTCGTGATCTGTTTATTCGTCAGATGTTTAGGGGGCACTCACTATATGCCAGGCGCCTGCCAGGGATGTTTCCATGGACAAGGCAGACTGTTTTCTTTATGGCTGCGCATCCCAGGACCCTTCCCTCCGGTGAAGGCGGCGGGAGAATAAGCAGCCACAGCGCAGCCCGTGACCGTAGCACAGGCGGCGTGGCCTTCACCCGTGGCTGACGATGCCCCTGTCCATGGAGCGTGTGGGAAAGGCACCCTGGTGGGAGGAGACGTAGATTTCGAAGGAACTTGTAGGCCATATTATACAGCGTGGACTCCATTTTCAGAGGAATGGGACATCTTTCAGTGGTTCTAGAACAGGGTGACCCCAATATTTTTGTGTAAGTGATTGTTTTGACTATTGTGTTTGAGATTGGAGAGAGGGAGGCAGAGTGGAGCATGCCTGAGGGCAGTGAGTTCTGCCTAGAAGCCATCGTGATAACCCAGATCAAAGGTGACAACCTCAGCCCTCCACGAGCGAAGGGGCGGCGGCTGGAACTGTGTGCATTTGAGAACTGCTGGGGGGTTCAGGTTGAGTGGTGCACACAAGATGTGCTAGGACAGGGAGAGGAAGGAGCCGTGCTGGCCAGCTGACTGGCAGGGCCACACTTGACTGCGACAGAGCTCACGGAAGACGGAGCAGGTGGGAGAGGGAAGCCAAGGAAGTCGGTGTTGGATCTGTCGAGTTAGAGACGGCCAGGAGGGAGGGTGGTGATGGAGCTCTCCGACTTCTCCACACGTGGGTCATCTCCACCTGGCGGCAATGGAGGGGTGGAGTCCCGTGGATCTCTACGAGTAACACGGAGTCTCTGAATCTCGTTTTCAAGGAGCTGCGCTTATTTTGCATATGTTTATTTTTTTTCTGGGAACAAAAACATGATACCAGTTTGCTTGAAATTGGCCATAACTCCAAGGCAGTTAAGGACCACAGGGGAGATTGAAGGGACAACCAGGAGGGAAGTGACAACCCAAGAGAAGTCACTTGGGCTGCCCACCGCTGGGCCAGAACCCAACCCAAAGATGGTGCATGGTGATAATGCACAGAGGACGAGGGTTCTGGAAATAAGGTTGAGAATCCAGCAGGGAGAGCGTCAGGGGAAAGGGAGTGGCTTGCAGAGTCAGAGGCCTCTGATTGGTCGATGCAGGCAAGGAAAATAGCCATTGGGTATTCAACAAAGAGGTGACCTTGGCCAGGGAAGCTGTGGTTAGCTGGAAAGAGCGAGTGAGTGAGTGGGAGGTGAGATGGTGAGAAAACAGAGATGGAAAGTGTAGGAAACTCAAGAAGGGACAGGTGAGTGTGGAAGAGGTAACTGGAAAGGAGACCAGGGTACAAGGTGGATACGTCCCCCGCTTAAGGTGGAAGAGACTCATGCCAATGAGTACAAATTTTAAAAGCACCAGGAGTCTTAGGTAGAAACCAACCAAAGCAAACACACAGAAAGGAGCATTGGAGGAAATCAGGCGGGTAGAGATCAGGGCGTCTGTAGCAGGCGGAGGAGACCTCAGGGGAGGGTCGTGAGTTGAGTGGAGACCGGCATGGTTAATAAGCTCGGCCAGGTGAAGACAAACCATTAACTGGAAGAAATCAGAGAAAAAAAATAAGACTAAACATTCTTCAAAGAATATTTTCTCAGGGAATATGAAGTCCTTAGAGTGGAAATTGCCTGTAACTCTGAGAGTGACTACAAGTATGAAAGCATTAACAGCTCCAGGACAAGCAATCCAATTTACAACCACTGCTTGCGTTCTCGGTCTTGGCACGCGAAGCCAGCACACCCCTTGGGTCACGCTGTCCGTCTCCTCATTTGCAACTTTCAGCACCACTGAGGCTGCTAAGTCAGTAACTGCGGGCACTTCCATCGCTGAGGTTTCTAACATCATGTATATAAACACTCCCATAAATAAGCGTGCTCACGTTGGAAAGAGGAAGATCCTTAAATAGGCGGCTCAGCACAAGTGACTGACTCCCTGCATATGGAAGATTGTTACAAGACCTAGCTTATAATTAACCACTCTCTGTTTCACTTCACTGGATGATTCTTCTCTTATCTTTTTACAAGACTGTCCTCATGTTCATGTTTAAAGGGTCTGTGGGTGTTGAGTACGTATTGTTGAAACAGGAGCCTTTCGGTCCATTCCCGTTTATAACGAGAGAGAGTGGGGTGCAGCCACAGGGACCACAGGTCGTAGTGGACCCCAGAGGAAGCTGAGGCTCGGTGTCACCCAGGGAGGGTGGAGTGGGTGCCCCTTGCCTGCGGGGCTCCGCCTTTTAGACAGGAGAGAGGCCAGCGGCTCTCAGGAGCGGCCTCAGCCACGCCTCTGCTTCCCCACCCCAGTTGCGGGCCGGAGCTCCAAACAGATCCTCAGTGCACAGGAGAGAAACCTGCACCTTAGTGTGCAGACATCATGGAGACCAACACTCGTGCGAGACTCTTATTTTCCCCCGAGAAAGAGTATTGTTCCTTTCCCCAGTTCCCGACATCTGCTGCAAAAGAAAACAAATGGAAAACACTGCCATATTTCTTTGTCTTCGCGAAACTTGGCTTTCCACATTTTTGTCCTAGATCGTGGAAGAGACCAGACTGGTTGATAAATGCATTCACGCACACACACACACACACACACACACACACACACACACAGATAGCAACATTTTCATGTTCTGGCTGTGGCAGACCTTGGTCCTTGATTCCCAGCCCCTGCCCCCCAGCCCAGGTGTCCTGAGTCTCTGCTGCATGTGACACAGCTCTTCCCACACACGTCGTCCTGACTTCCGGGCACGGTCACTCTGTCTGCCTCGGTTTCCCTTCTCCAGAGGAGGAGGCCCGTGCTGGGAACACTGCAGTTCATAACCTGCTACCGCCACAGGCACCGAGGTGGCCTTTGCAGTTTTCCAGCCGCAGGCTCTGGCTGTGGGGATGCACTTCTGGGGGAATGGCACGTTCGGTTGTTGTCGCTCACGTATCGCAGCTTTGTGCGTGGGCGCCACGGGCCAGGCCTTGGCTACTGACCTCAGACCACCGCCTCTCGGAGGCTCTGTTCTCCAGGCTCCTGAGCACCTCTCACCTGAGTCCTCTGACCCAGTTCCGAGACGCCTTTGTGACGACCTCCTTTGCCATGAATGGGGAACCTGGGGGCTGCCCCGGCTGGTCAGAGACCTTGCTGGAAAAAGTGCCTCTGACCCAGCTGTCATTTTAGGGATGAGAACAGCTGATGATAACCTCTTGGGGAGTCCATGAGATAACTCTGCATAACAAGGTGTCTTCATGGTTCTCTTTCTTTTTAAAAGAGTGAGACTTGTCCTCTGGTCTCAGGGAGAACAGGACTGACCCCTGTTCTTCCAGCCCACCTGACATGGCCAGATTATATCACAGAAAAACCTGTCATTGGTGGCTGCATCTTGGGTACCTGCCAGGAAACCCTTGATTTGGGAGCACCATTGTCTTACAGGGGCTTTCAGGCCCCCGGTGGACCGACCCACGGGTGTTAGGATTCCTCAGAGTGTGCTGTGGGGACAGGCTGTGTGGGAAGCCCACCCCGACCCCCCGGGGCATGTGCTGGAAAGATGCTGAGGGTGGGGCCGCCAGTCTCCCCTTCGCCCAGAGCCTCCATGCAGCCCTCGGGCCCCGGGAGACGCGGGGAGGGGAGCCTCGCTGGTCACCAAGACCGGCTTCCCTGACCACGCCCTCTTGTCTCTCCCCCGCCAGGTGCAAGTGCAACCTGCACGCCACCGTGTGCGTGTACGACAACAGCAAGCTGGCCTGCGAGTGCGAGCACAACACGACGGGCCCGGACTGTGGCAAGTGCAAGAAGAACTACCAGGGCCGGCCTTGGAGCCCGGGCTCCTACCTGCCCATCCCCAAGGGCACCGCCAACACCTGTGAGTAACCCCACCCCTGCCCCGTGGTCTGCGTGTGCCGAGCCAGCCGCCCCTCCCGCTCACGTTCACCAGCCCGTGTGCTCAGCCTCCGCTTGCCAGTCCTCCCCACCACCCCGCCCCGTTCCTCCCTGACACGCGGCTTGAGCCCCCAGCCCCCATTCCACCCCTTTCCAGCACACGGTAGCACTCGGGTCACCTGCTGAACTCAGTCTTCCCAGTTCGCAGCAAGTGGGCTGGGAAGTGAGGGAAACCACAGGAGAAATGTTTTGTCTCAAGTGGATGAAACAGGTGCCTGCTTTCCTTCCCCCCAAAGAGTTTCCTATTAAAATGACAGAGACGTTCAACACCCGCAACTGGAGCTCGGAGTGAGCCGTAAACACCTTCTGGAAAGTCGCTCAGTGTTCACAATCCCACTCCTCATCCTGGGGGGCCCGAGAGAAGCTCCGCTCGGAAACGCTTCCCTCCCTGATATTAGTCGCAGCCGGACCGGCGACCCTGAGAGAAGGGGCTTTTCCTACACCCCAGGGGCGGAGAGGTCACGCAGGCCTGGATCCTGGGAGCGGAGGCCTTCTTCAGACAGACAGCGTGGCTGCAGGCGCGGGGGCCACGCCGTGTCTGTGCGAAGAGCACACGGCGTCATCACCTGTGTTTCCAGGAACCGTGAGACACGCCGCCCCGTCACCGCCGCTGGGTGCCCGCCAAATCCTGAGCATCCGCAGGGAACACGCTGGGGGGATGCACTCAAGGAGAGAAGTCGTTACTTCCAGACAATTTGCCCAGTTCCGTGGTTGTACCGATGAGCCACTTGCAAAAGCCCGAGAGTTGCCCTCTTTCAAAACGAGAGACAGAGACGGGCTGAGGTTGCGAATATACCCGCCCAAGTGAGAAGAAACAGAAAGAACGTGGAAACTTGAAAAGCCACCAGCCCCCTGCCAGGCAGGAAATGTCATCAGGAGCTTCAAAGCAGCATCTGGAGGAAACCAAAACCTCTAACAACCAGTATCACAGGCGCCAGGACCTTCTCAAGTTAAGTGTAAGAGTCACAAGCAGAGCAACAAGCTGTGAGGTGCGGGGGCATGAAACTGGGAAAACTTCTGTAAAGCAGAGAAAGAATCCCTTGACTCTAAAGGGCATTCAGCTTCTTTCTGGGTTAAAGAAAGACACAACCATCTAGCTCCTAAAAATAATACATGCAACTCTGTTGAGCAGAAATGTTGGCTTTTCAAGCAGATTTTATTCACAGAGACCCTTCTGGGCTTTCTCAACTGGTGCCGCCGTAACCCATGAACTCAGAAGGACTCTCCCGAGTTATCTGTCATGCTGCCCTGGGGCCGGGTACCTAAGGGTCCCCATCGCCACGGTCGTCAAGTGGAGTTTAGGCATTTCCCTTCCTGAAAATGGCCCCAGGTTCATCCTCAGTGTCCGCTGCGTCTTCAGGGAGACAGGGCAGAGGGAGGGGATGCCGGCTGGCACCCGGCTGGTCCTCAGGGCAGACACCTTGTCGGGGTTACCGTGCAGGCAGCTGAGGTGGACTGCTCTTGACTGCTTCTTTGTTTAAATTGCCAGGGGATATGTTTATTGATTTTAGAGAGAGAGAGAGAGGAGGAGGGAGAGAGAAATATCAATGTGCGTGTGTGTGTGTGTGTGTGTGTGTGAGAGAGAGAGAGAAACGTTGATGTGAGAAGGAAACATTGGTTGATTGCCTCTTTTCATGCCCTGACCGGGGATCGAACCCAGAACCCTCTTGGCATACGGCATGATGTTCCAGTCAACTGAGCCACACAGTCAGAGTGGACTTCTGTTGACTTCCTGTCTAGCAGGACCCTCTTCTTCAACCTGTAACTGTGCTTCCAAGTCCTATTTATTTTGAGACATTTGCCCTGGGAAAACCTTGTGCCAGCCAAGCTTTCTCAATGGAATGAATTCTTTATTATAGTCTCTGTGGAAGTGACTTGCGTACCCCTAGTGTTCTGATCATTGTAGAGTGCCGCTTCGCTCCCCGGTCAAAGGAATGCAGCCTCTTTCATTTTCCTCATGGATTCCGTTGTCTGTCTGTCCCGTAGTGTTTACTGTCCTTCTAGACAGATTTTTCCCCATATCTGTTAAAGTGGGAATGTGACAGCCCTGGCCAGTGTGGCTTAGTTGGTTGGGGTGTCATCTGATAACCAAAAGATTGAAGGTTCTATTCCTGGCCAGGGCACAAACCTGGGTTGTGGGTTCGATTCCCAGTCCAAGCATGCGTGAGAAGCAACCAACTGATGTTTTTCTCTCTCCCTTCCTCTCTCTAAAAGCCGATACAAGTGAGAATCCTAACAATGTTACAAATCCTGTCCTTGACTTAAATTTCCACACTGAAAAATCAGGGGACTTCCTGGGCAAAGGTCCTCGGGTGAAGATGAAAAAAAAGAAAAATAGAAAGGTGACAGATGGACACAGTGACCGAGGACAGTCAAGTCAATGTTGTAATTCTCAGCATGGCAGAAATTGGATTAAAAACTGTAGAGATTACCTGCAGTGGTCCAGCCTTGCCATGGAAAAGACTTACAATGGAAGGGGCCCATTAAACTGAAGCTCCGGCACATCAGACTGTGCTTTAAGATGTCCAAGAATGAGCGTGAACCCTTTAAGGCTTTGGTGCACGGGCCCATTCATTCCCTGGCTGCGTGACCTTGGAAAAGGGAACCGACCTCTCCGACACTCGGGGTTCCCGGCCGCAACGTGAGGATAACAGCCGTTCTCACCTCACAGCCATTGTGGGAGAATTCAATAAGCTAATGCATGCAATGCGGTGGGCATGACACCTGTCACCAAATAAGTTCTTCCAAAATAAATTCGTCTTTTGGATTCTTTTCATAAGGCAGACTTGTTTTTTATTGGATGACAATTGTGATGTAGCTCTAAATCCGACTGCTTCACATCAGTATTGACCGTCTCTTAATTTCCAACCACTCTTCCTGTTTAAGTGGAGAAAGAACTATGTTGATCCCAATTTCTTTCCTTGTCTGGGTCAACATCATGAGCTCCTTTTTTTTCACATGATGAGATTTCTGTGTCTCCTACCTCGTTACTTGCCCGAGAAGTTCCCTGATTTTTTAGTGTGGAAATTTAAGTCAAGGACAGGACTTGTAACACTGTTAATGATTCTCACGTGTATCGGCTTTTTCTTCTGCACCTGCAAATGTGCTCGTGTGCACGGCCACGCACACACGGGACTCCATTCGTGCATTACAAGTCAGTTCTTTAAGAAGGACACTTAGGACATGCCATATCCTAATGCAAAAATGTAAAACCTAAGAAGTGGAAAAGAAGTGGCTGCAGCCTCTGGTCCCTCTACCTCAGCTCCTCGGTGACTTACAAAAGACACCCATCCTGGGTCGTCCCTGGAGTTAGCGACATCTCAAGCGGCCAGGATAAGTTTTTGAATTGAAAGGCCCAGTTCCTGCTCACTCTTAGCAAAATAACTAAGAGGCTTTTGTCCAACCAGGACATGATAAGATTTCCCTTTAAAGACCCTCAACCCTACACCCAGAAGGACCCTAAACTGCGACCTCGCTGGGAGTCAGTCTTAAGGCTTGGGAAGTCCTGAATTCCCCAGAAGCTCCAAGGCCACTTTTGTAGGGAGCACGCAGGGCCAGGAGAGAAGTGTTGGGAGCCCCATCGCTCTAAACCGAGCCGCCCCAGCCTGTGAGGCACGTCCCAGTTTCCCGGTTCCCTGTGCTTCTCACTGCAGCGAACTCCGCAGAAGCAGAAGGACTCACTCTCGCGGTGACATTTGTGTCCATCGTGCTTTCTATTCAAGACCTAGTGAGTCTTCGAGTCTGGGTCTTTAAAGCCATAGACATGCGTATTGAAAAATCTTTTCCTTTATTTCTTTTCCAAATACGTAGAGATGATGTTTTGTCTATAAGACATCTTTTCCCTATTTCTTCACGCCGTTTCTGAGTGAATTCTATTTTGAATGTCCTGTGAGTGTTATTTCTGTCTTATGAATAGATAGCCACCCCAGCCAGCTTCCTGCTTAGCCACGATTCTCTTGGGTCTCATTGTTCAGCTCATGAATAAAAGGACTAAGTAGCACCTCTTTCAATTCTGATCCCTGGAGAATAACACCCAGTATTTTTGTACACGTCGATGCTAAAAGCTTCATAATTCACCTTTAGGAAATACCACTCTAGGGAAGATAATATAACAGTACCTCTTCCTTACCTATACCTCTGCTTTCCGAACTGTGTTCTCAGACCCTTGAAAGAATTTTGTGGCCAAGGAAACTTGAAAAACGCCATCCACTATACTAACTCTCAGTCATATTGCCTTATTTAAAAAATGAGAGAGTCCTGTAGTGAAGTCACCTACTTTACCCAGTGTTTCCCAAACTTCGTTCTTTGTGCAACACACAGTAACTTTCTGGGAAGCGCTGTTGGGGTGGGGGTGGGGGCACGCCGTCCTAGGCAGTCTCTTCAGCCCGGTGATGGGAGCGTCCGGGGGGCAGACAGAAAGCCCGGCGGGCTCCGCTGCTTCCCATCTCTCACTGTCCTGCTGTCGGCGCGGTCCAGTACCCTTCCAAGAACGAAAATGAAATTGGTCCGACATTGACATTGTCCATTTGTTCAGAAATCCGACTGGAATGGTTACACCCAATAGCCAGGGCTCCTTGGAGTGAGGCAGAGTCATTCGAGGGCGGTTCTGTTATTTTCTCTGCTATTGCATTTGCATGGGTCACTCCATATGTTCCCAGGTGAACACGTGGGCATCATTATCTAGAAAATTTTCAAAATGCCCTTAAGTGCATATTAGTTCATTCTTAATTCACAACAGTCTTGTCAGGAAGACGCTGCTGCTTTCGTGCTGCAGACTCGGAATCGGATGACTGCGGAGGGGAGGAACGCTTTGAGGTTCACGGGGCTAGTCAGGGCCAGAAGGAGGGTTTGGGCCCGGGTGTGCGGACCCCGAGGACTGCGCACGGCGCTGTTTGGCTTCTCAGGTGACTTCAGAGACTTGTT